CCACTCCCTCTGGTCCCGCTCGTTCTCACACATGAACAGGAACTGCCGGTCCGGCGTCTCCACGGCGATGCCATGCTTCCACTTGTTGCCCCGTGCGCCCCGGGGCTGGGTCTGCTGCACCCCGTAGCCGTGTTGCTCCGTGCCGAGGAAAACCGCTCCCAGCTCCAGGGCGTCCTGAGCGCGGCAGGGCGCCCGGGGGAGGACAGGAGAGAACAGAGGAGCACACCTGATTATTCCGCAGCAGCCCCGGCACAGGAGTACGATTCGCCTGGAGGCGCTTCGTGAGTCGCAGAGCTGTGGGTGTCCGAAACAAAGTGCCCCGAACAGGGATCTTAGGTTCCACTGGCTACAGTGTTTAAAAAAATCGATTCAGGCTGAAGAGGCTCTGCGACTGACTGCAGCCCTTGTGAATCTGGGGCAGACTGGGGTCTGGAGGACAGGGGCTGAGAAAGTTCCAGAAGCAATTCACACAGCTGGTGCGAAACAAGGGAGGAAAAGAGACAATGTCCAAAAAAACCCCAGATAAGACTGATTAACAAAAACACAGCTCCCGACCAAAAAGAGTGCTCCAAGCGCACAAACTCCACTCTACTTTCTGAGTCTGGGCAGTGCTGACACCTTCTTAAGGACTGAAAACTGCCCCACCCACCTTTCTGATCCAGAAAAAGGATCATCCCCACATTTTAAAGCCAGTGAAGCAGCAATTGTCCCCTTGTGTCCTGATGCACACAGAAACAGGTGGGCGGGTGGAGGGAGACACTGCTCACAGACAGCATGTTGTCACCTCTGTCGGATTGCGGTTTGTACAACTGGAAGCATCATCAGCACCTCAACTGTAAATAAAGATACTTACTACTATTTACGAAATAGTAAATATCACCAGCTCCTTGACTTCTGTGCTAGTCTTGCTGATCATGAGTTAAAGGAGGAAGGAGACTACAGCAGATTACTGACAGGGTATTGAATAAGCACCCTGGCTGCAGTCTTTCTCGCTGAGCTCCCAGAGGTGTGTGCTGCCTACCGTGTCTGAGGAAACCAAGAGAAGCAGCTCTCACCAGAGGACCTTTGAAGTAGAGCAGTTTCCTGTTATGACAGTCCAGGATGAACCACCTCTTCTTGAACGGCTCTCTTTGCTATGAGACACAGAAGTCACAGCACTGTGAGAGGCAACAGAGTCCTTTCACCCCCGCAGTGTCCTGTCAATCCACTCCGCACACTGGCTGTGTCACCGACGTGACAGACCAGCCAGTCATCTCACTGGCCCGCAGACTGACCGGTCACACTATCTCACTGAGTGACCGGTCATCTCACTGGCCCGCACACTGACCAGTCACACTATCTCACTGGCCCGCACACTGACCAATCACACTATCTCACTGAGTGACCGGTCATCTCACTGACCCGCAGACTGACCAGTCACACTATCTCACTGGCCCGCACACTGACCAGTTACACTATCTCACTGAGTGACCGGTCATCTCACTGGCCCGCAGACT